AGTAAGAAAGTCATTTCAAAGGAGTGGAGGATGGACCGTTAGATTAACGCCTAAAGCCTCGGCTTTGTCAAACCGTTTGGGCGGTTTGCAATGTGAAGATGGAGGACTGATGCAAAAAAAGAGAAGGTAATAATATGAAAATGACCTCCATGGTTTCTGTACCCTGACCCTCAGCTATAACACACTTAGTCACTTTTTATACTTTCCATTTCAAGTTTTATGTATCAGGATAAAAGAACAGTTTATCTTCACTATAACTACTATACAGCTACTCAAACTGTAGAAACACTAATGGAAGTCTTAACATCTCCAGTTCACTCAGTGATCACAAACTCTAAAGTCTTTCACTTTGATTATTTACATTCAATCCACTGACCAGCCGCTGACAGTAACAATCATTATGTCTCAGTTTAAAGTATGAAGGCCTTGTATAAACTCTCAGTGTTGCATTAATGAAAAAACGGATTACATTGTTAGATCTAACTATCATTAAAGCCGTGCAGAACTACAGATGTTTACAAAAGAAACTTCAAGAACAGGAAACATACACTAAATAAAGTTCTTACCTTGTGTAGCACATAAATGCAGCAGAGAAAAAGAGAAGAGAAGTACGAGGGACCCCATTCTAAGAAATGAGCGACTAGCGGAAGTGATCTCGCTGTTTAGAACCATAGACTGTAAATATTACTGGACGAACCCTGACCCGTCTGTTACATAGGCAGAAAATGAGTCCAATCGACGGCCGCATCCATATTGGATTTGCAGTTTCAACCTAACTTTGGATCAACCTAACGACAGCAGTAAGGCGGGACCGGCGGGACTTAGCTCCGCCCATTCAGCTCGACGTCAGCAGTCCACTTCACAGCATATCTAACAGCGAGGCTGCTATCATCAACTATTCCTGCTCATCCTGAGAAAACTCTCCAAACAGTAAGTTAACATTTAACTTTTCTACAACAGTTAAAACGAATTATATTCAACCCAAATATTTAACTAAAGTCTTAAAACTACACTTTTTTAAATATACAATCATGGTTATTAGTTATTTGTCAGAGCAGTTAGACTTTGTCAGTGTTAGCAGAGAAATACATTAACAAAGTTTTATCCATAAACTGTAAATATGAGACATCCAGAAGAAATGAATATTACAAAGCATACAGTTCATGTTACTGTTGTGACAAAAAGAGGAATGTCTGTGTTTTATATTTACTGATGTCAACAGCGATGAGGTGAACATGACAATTGAAAAATAATTATTTAGTATTTATTATAAGACATTTGTTTTCTATTGAACCCTGTGAAGTCATGGAGTCTGTGGACAGTGTCAGCTTCACACCAAAAACTAAGTATTAGAAAAAATTGTGTTTAAGACTGGCATCTATTATGATGAGTTACAGCTACCTTGTTCAATATTATTCCTGCAGATGTGGCTCATAACAAAAAAACAGCCTGAGCTGTCACATGTAGTTAACTGTACATTTTGTCTTGTCTGAGGCATTAATTGAACACCTTTGTATTTCTCCTATAGACACAGTGTGCATTATTGGTGACTGGTCCGTCGAGGTGCCCAGAGAGCTGCAGAGACAGAGGAAGAAACCTGAGCCTCAACAACATCTGTATTTGTTGGTTCTTCTGGGGTGGACTTCAGTTGCTTCTCTTCAACAGCTCGCTGTGAGGGAGGTCTCCCCCGGATGGCCTGAGTGATGTCACCCACAGACTGAGAGCTGAGGCGGGTTTTAAGCCTCCCTGACAAACCGTTACACCGTGCCCACCTGTCAAGCTGGTCAGCTACACGCCTTATTGTGAATAACTCTTATTCTTCATCAAATCAAAACTGATGAGTCATCAAAACATTCACCCCCCCCGTACAGTGTGTGTCCATCGAGACATGAGCTAATCACACCTATTTGTTTGTTTTGTACCAAGCTGTAAACATGTTCATCTCTGCTGTAAAAACAGACTTTTTTTAATGTTGTTTTTCAGATTAAATAAATATTTCTATATAAATGCACTCCTTTATGTCTACTTATGAGTATACATTTCAGATTAATGCTCAACTCAATAGCTTAGGGAAGGAAGTCTACTTTTACACAACTTCTTATTCTTTTGATAAATACTAATGTAGTTCATTTCTGAAAGTGGGATGGAACAGAGTCATTGCAAAATGATGACCTTAAACACAGCCCCATTCTTAAATCAAGATACATGGAGAGTAAATAAGATCAATAACTTGTGAATAAAAACACAGTTAAAAATGATTTAGAAATGTAGTCTTCCCTGATCAATATCACATAATATCAACTTCTCCCATCTAAACTAGACAAAGGGTTTTAAAATGGGAAGAAAATAGTTTGATTGCAAGTTGTTTGGAGGAGATCTAGTTTTATTTGAACAGCTGAAGCATGAATACAGTCTTCCAAGGTGCAAACCCTCCTCCTCCTCCTGAAGCTTGTGGAGCTCCTTCATGTACTGCTGTCTTATCTGCTGGCCATCTTCTCTCAGCAGAACTTCAACTGTTGAAAAGTCATTCAGAAGAAGCTCGAGCATGTGACATGGATCCAGGAGAACATGGACTTTTAGTGAGAGGTCTTCAGGATGGCAAAGAAAGAGAGAAAATATCAGTTATTCATTAAATCATTTTTTTTTTTTTGTTCTCATCTATTTTTCTGTATTCATCTGTGTGTAAGAGCACATTTATAAATTCAACAGTGTACTACCCAGACAACAAAGGTCCAGTATTCAGATAATCAACATCTATTCAAAGTTAAGAAGATAAACATTATTGTAATCATGCTGTTTTCAGCTCTCTCACTCACACAATGATATTCTACATCAAATGGTCTCAGATTTTGTGAGGAAAAATTAAGCAGTTTATTGTGGATAGTACTTCATCTTAACATGAAACAAATATAACCTGAATTATTTAAATCATTAACAGTCTCTGTGCTTTAGTACAGAACATACAGTAACTCATTTATTATTAACATGAGCTCAGTACATGGCTGTAGTCTTCAAACTATTTCTTATACTTTATATCTGATTTTCATTCCATATGTTAATTTATATTTCTACTGCTATATTCTGTGTATGAGTTCAGTGAAAATTAATATGGTTATTAATATAGTTCTTAATGGTTACAGATGCTCTTACAAAGTGCATTTTTTTTTATTTGTTAAAAGTTTGCACAAATCTTAAGACACTACATCAACCATGTAACTTTAATGTCATCCTCTATAACCTACACAGCACATTAGGTTCAGTTCAGTTTATGTTACTGACGGATAATTACTACACAAAGTTTGTTTTTTAATGTCCACATTTAGGTGGAGTATAACATTCATCATAACGTCAGATAACCACCGAGCTGAACCTTTAGCTTCTAACATCACACAAACTCATTTTCAACATCTTCACAACAAACATTTCTAAACCATTGACCGTAAATAATGTAACTAATGAGCTACACAGTTAGCCGACTGGTTTACAAGCTAACGCTAAACAAGCTAGGTCCGTAAATATAAACACATGAGTAAGCAGTAAATATAACACTACTATATCACTTACCGAAAAAAACTGAAGCATCAACTTGTTGGATGGTCTGTTAACCGCACAGCAAGCCGTGTATGTTGTCAGATATGTGTTAAACAAACTCTCCAAACGATGTAAAAAAAGAGGAGAAATCAGACGGATCAAGCTGTTAGCCTCCTGACCTTCTGACCTGCTGACCTGACAGACAGAAGCAGCGCGCACAGCTGTCAATCACATCTGACACAACCAAATATGGGCATAGTCGTTTTCCTTAATAGAATAAAATCCGATGAGTTATAAAAAAATTCCCGCTTAACATGGAAGCGGAGGTTGAGGTCCGCATCCCGATTGTTAAGTATCATAAACAGTTGTCTCCGGTGAGACACCACGTGTTTCAGCAGATCTACATCCAGACAGAATCTTTTTTATGGGGGACACCACCTTCCCATGTCTGGAGAGCTCTCTGCTAAGAAACTCGTCGGTTATGAACGGAGGGACATTGGACAGGATGACTCTGGTGGAAGGCTGTGTCAGTGGAGTCACCTGTACAAACATTTGGTTCACCGTGATGCCCGTCTCAACGACTCGGTTCACCTTCTCCACCTGATCCAGGAAGATGACCACGGCGCTGTTCATCCGAGCGGCCGACCTCACGCTGCTGTGCCCGACCTTCTCTCCCACCGCAAGTCCAATCTCCTCCACGCTGCACGGAAAGCTGCCATTCATTTTAATGCCATGCTTTCTCGTGAGGTGGCCGAAGGTGACTCCATTTACCATGACGTCTGAAGACGCCGACCGGCGAGACACCGGCAGGAGAGAAACAGAAAAACACAAACACAAACACACACTAACTATTAACTTAAAGTGAACCTACAACCAATAAACTACATTAAATTAAATCAAATTACCAAAGAAAAACAACCATGAAAACCACTCGCTCAGCGTCTCACTCCACACCACTCACTCCCAGCATGCACAGAGAGACAGAGAGACAGAGAGAGAGAGAGACAGAGAGACAGAGAGAGAGAGAGAGAGACAGAGAGAGAGAGAGAGAGAGAGAGAGAGAGAGAGAGACGAGAGAGAGAGAGACAGAGAGAGAGAGAGAGACAGAGAGAGAGACAGAGAGACAGAGAGACAGAGAGAGAGAGAGAGACAGAGAGACAGAGAGAGAGAGAGACAGAGAGAGAGAGAGAGACTCTTGGGCAAAGAAGTGGCTGAGGATGCTTTTTCTCACTACACTTAACACACTTAAATGTTATAAGCTGCTGCAACTTAACACATATGTGAAAATAAATTCTTCAAACCAAACAGATTCAGTCAGAAGCTTCAGTAGCTATTAGTTAAACAAACAGTGACTAAAACATCTAATATTTAAGCTCATACAGGCTAATTTTTAAACAACACATGGATTATCTTTCATCTCAGGTTTAGTTGCAGCTAAGTCAGCCTTTGAGGCTGTCCTTGAGACTAACCAGCCTCAGAATAATAAAACTAAAAACACTAAAATACTCTTTTCACTGTTTATAATTGAGACAAAGATCCTTTTAGTATTTTCTTAAATACTTTAAAGGCATAATATGCGATTTTTTTCGGGTAAATTTATCATGCAGTGTGAAGATACGAGCATAATAAAGATCGCTAACACAACAATGCAGCGCAAGTTGTTTTGGTTTCATGCTGGTGCTCAATTGCGACATCTGCTGGATCAAAAAATCCCTTCATAAAATAGTTGATTACTTGAACATATAATCCTTGATTATTTATTCATCATTATTTTTTGTTTTGTTCTTGTCAATGGGGTAGAAAAGAAAATGTTTGTCTGAAAAGATAAATCTTTGTAAAGATTTGCCTTTAATTAAAAAAACTTTGAGTTTAATATCCTCTCGTCCTTTTTTCACGACGAAGAGATGAGTTGTTAAAAAAAGTAACTTTTACTTAAATTACATTTTAAACAAGTTACTTTAGTACATTTTTAAACTGGTACTTTTACTTGTACTTGAGTAAAATTTTATCAAAGTAACAGTACTTTTACTTGAGTAGAATATATTAGTACTCTTTACACCTCTGCAAGTAAGACAGAGTGCATTTCTTTCCTATGCACCTGTCTTATTAAAAAGTAATTTACAAGTTAAAGTACAAACAAAAGAAAAAAATTCTACTTTGATATGAAAACTACGAGCAGCATTCTGCAAAAAAGACCTGATTGTTGGTTTGAACACAAGTCTCCCCTCTGACAGGGCAAATAGCCAAACACAGTTTAAGATTCTGGGGGCGGCACTTGGGGTGGCCACTCAGATTTCTAGGGGGCCCATCTCTCTGCTACCCCAACAGGTATCTACATACCTTTAAGCAGTACAATACATTACTGTTAGATTAGATACTGCATACAGTCAGAGATCCTGGGCCTCAGTATTTGGCTTTAAAATCTAAAACTTCTAATGAATGACACAGAAGAAAATATGGTTTTTATAACTCATAATCAGCTTTATTAAATCACTTATGTCAGAAATAATTTTCCCATTTCATCAGTCCGTCCTCATTTTAAACACTTTATACATCCATCATTCCTCTTTTCCTCACCTGTCATGACTAATCATCATTGTTGCTCATTTAAAGTAGAATCATTATCAGTAACTTACAAACATCTCTTTCACATTTTCATCCCTCATCACTCCAACCCGGTATCATGCCAAAGCGTGTAATAGACACGTTGGTCCACTAGAGGATGCGTGTCAGTGTCACGCATTGCCTGTCTTCAGCGTCAAATGTACACGCCTGTGATCGATACCAGCAGGGGGCGATAATTTACTCAATGCCAACAACCATCGCGGACAAAAGAGAAGAGATTCAGTGTACTCCAAACCTCCTTCCTGTCAGGTAAGAGTTATTACGTGGGTTTAAAGAGCCCATATTCTGCCCTTTTTGGGGTTCGTATATTTAATCTATGTACCTACTTTTGTACGTTCACAACAGATAAACTTTGAAAAAAAATGTCTGTTTTCATGTACTGCTCCTCCTTGCTCCCTCTCCGCTCTGAGTCTGTCAGCTACACTCTGTTGAGCCCACACTGTTAGACCCCACGTGGGCCAAGTCTGCCGATCCGCTCTGTCGTTATTGGTCAGTTGCTCAGCTCGCTTCTCGGGAATTTCAGCATGAGCTGCAGGGCTTGCCACAACGAGCCAATGGGCTTAGATCAGTGCTCTCACACTGACAATGACGTCTGACTGACACATTTTTATTGAGGGGGGCTAGAACCGAGCGTTACATGCAGCTAATGCTACAGCTAACAGGAGGACGTAGGAGAAGCCGCGTTTCCGCGGACTTTGAATTTTGCACTTAGATGTGCCTAAACATGCACAAAACACACTGAAGGGCATGTAAAACCAGATAAAGCATAATATGGGACCTTTAATATTTATTATTAAAGGGGCTATATGTAACTTTTTAAATGTATAAATTGTTTTTTATGTCCATTAATAAGCGAACAGTTAACTAATGTGAAAAAGAAGATGTTCACTGTCTAACTGACACAAAGACTCACGGTATGGAACAAACGCAGACTCAGAGGGAGAGTTATCAATCAGTCCTTCAATCCAGGCAGAGTTCGGTACACGAGAAGGCAACAATAAACAAATCCAGAGGGCTAGGCAAGGCAGGGTCAAAACAGCAGCAAGGGTCATACACGAAGATCAATAGCAATAATAATGCTGGACCGAGGGAACACAGAGAACGCAACGAACTGGCAACAGGAGGGAGAACACACAGGGATTAAATACACAGACAATCAGGGACCAACGAGACACAGGTGAAGGTAATCAGGGCGGAGCTGACACACAAGGCGGGGACAAGAGGGGCAGGATCTGAAAGACAGAGACAAGGGTGAAAACCAAAACACAACAAAACCTAGGAACCTAGGAAAATAATATAAAATTTGCAAAACACAAAACAAAACCTAATGCAGACTGAAAGCCTTGTCACTATCTGTGTTGCCTGTATAACGTTTTTCTCCGGGTCGTATTTTCCGTGAAAGTTCCAGGAAGTGACATTTTATGCACGTTCTCAACGTCTTCCTCACTCCGCTTACAGAGATCAACAGTACAAACTCATCACACACTCCTGCTCTCAGCCAGTGCCTGCAGAGACTGTCGTTTGTAGGATGGAGAATGAATACAGACACACAGACTCCTTCACAGACTTTCACGTGTGTATGACCACTTACCTCCTCTGTAAACATTATGCCGGTAAATATCGAGTGTATCGCGGCCGATGATGATGTTCGTTTGTGTACGTACGTATTGTAGAGTTTTGTGTAAAGCCTGAAGGTAAGAGTTAAAAACTAATCACCAATCTGACACTAATGCACAGTGAGGATTTTTGCCTGAATAATAACAAACAGATACTTTTCTCCAATTTCTTTTTGTTGTGTTTTAGCTATTGGCAGGTGATAAGATTTAACATTTCTTAAAAAGTAATTGCCTAGGTGACAGAAACAAAGTCATTATTTAAGACCTACAAATGTCGACATGACATTTTCAAGGCCGGGTTTGTAATGCAGTTATCTCGATCAAAGTCTTCTTCTTTTTAATAGGCTAAACAAAAATGATTAAATATTCCAGAAAAAATGACCGATTTGCTACTGATTGGCTGTGGCTTAGCTATGACTATTAATAGTCAAGACAACACATCTTTTTAAAGTTGAAAAGATCACTTGATGTTTATTCTCCACTATGATTTTAAAGGGGCAATATGTAACTTGGACACCTAGTGTTTGAAATTGGTACTGCAATTCAATTAAAAACATTAACGAGAGCTGTCTGCCCCCTCCTCCCTAGAGTCGATGATCATGAAGGTTGCCATGTCTCGGACACTGAAGCTTCAGTGTTTAGCCAGGTCTGCATCAGTCTGGAAACCTTTCTGCCTCTCCATTTTTCAAAAGCATCTCCAATATTTATCTTAGTTATACCTCGTTTCTGCTCACTTTAAAGTTTAAAGTTGTTATAGAACTTCCTCTTTGCCTTACTAATAATAAATGATGACTCATTAAATACTAAACTCAGGCTGGCACTTGAATGTGATTATTTGATTTGGCACTAAAATGGCAATTAAAACGAGACCAACATCCCTCTTTACAAACAGTAAAGATGAGCCCTTCATATGGTTATGTGAAATTTTCAACACTTTTTTGTAAAGCTAAATGCTGTCAGTATGCACAGTTACAGTATTTTTTTTCACTGAACATGTGTGACCTTGTTGTGTTTAAGCTGTGTGTATGTGAGTCTGCAGGGGGCACGGTGGTATATACACACTTATTTCACAGACTTCATGCTATTCCACTGATGGACTGTTGGTGGCAGTAAAACACAGAGAAATGTAGTTTGAGGAGGCAGAGGAAGAATATCAGCAAACATGGATGCAAATAATGAAGAGAGTAAAAATACCTGTACAATTCTGCTTTGACTTATAAAGTTTATTAGGATAGAAGTGACTCAGCACTTTTGTAGAGCTTCATAGACATATTATAAATACCCTTTTTATCAATAAAATTAATGTAAAAAAAAAAGAGATTGCATTGTTTCTTTACTATACACACAGTTCATCCATCACACAATGCTATCATTTCCCTCCATCCATTATTCGGGGTCGCAGGCGGAGGGCTGGAGCCGATCCCCGCTGTCATTGGCTGAGAGGCGGGGTAAACCCTGGACTGTTCCCAGTTAATCACAGGGCAAAATGATTTTATTTCTTGAAATAAATTGTTTACATTGGCCTCTTGTAAATAAATTCATTGCTCAGAGTTGATGTAGAACGGTTTTTGAGAATGTTGTCTGTAGAAAAACATAAAATGCAGTATTTGTAACGTCTTTGGTCCTATTTATAATATTATTAATGATAATTATAAAATATAAATCAATGATATTTCACAGTATTTGTCCAAGCATCATATTGGACCCTCAGTAATAAACTCTCACTCTATAATATGATGTGAAGCCTCCTTTCTGGACCTTCAGTAATAACAAAAGCATTGTAAATATATTGTACTCATCGATATATTGGATGGATAATGGCTAATAGGTGAGAGAGTTTGATGTGTTTGGTGTTAATTCACTTGTTTTATTGTTTCTTTTTGCTGACATGAAGTTCAGTGTGAAGCAGTAAACTTATTCACTCATTCTTTAAATGTCTGTTAAAGCTCCTGTGAGGAGTTATTAACTGGTTATGTAACAGACTGAGATTAATACTGAAGCCTCTTTATGAGCTACACAAGCTGAGGAGATCATCATGGACAAGTCACTATGGAGGAGGTGTCAGGCCAAACTTACCTTTTTTACATTCTGCATGATAAAGGTTCATGTTGAGTGATACATTTGCTTTAAAATAAAAGCTGGATGAGATTTATTTTATTTTATTTTATCCACAAGGTGCTTTAAAGTTGACACAAACCAGAAGATCCTCACTGTAGCTTTAAATTAAAAAGGCTTTATTCACATTAAGGTTTAAAGAAACATTTGATAAGAAGCATCAAGATGATCAAATATTAGCAAAAACACAAATTAGCAATAAAACTATGTCAAAAAAATAGATTGTAACATTTGAAATATATACAGTAAATTAATTTAAAAAAATAAAATTATCTGCATCAAAGCAGTTCTATTGTATGTGTCACCTGATTGTTAACAGCAAAGGTGTCTCCATATAGCATGTGACATAAATGATCTCTATAAACATAATTTATGCAGCTTCATTGGCTCCCGGTTAAACATCGCATCACCTTCAAAATTCTGCTCCTCACCTTCCAGGCCATCCACAACCTCGCTCCTCTGAACCTCTCTGAACTCCTGCACATCAACACACCTACTCGCACTCTCAGGTCTTCTTCTTCAATTCAACTCACTGCACCACCCGCCCGCCTGTTCACCATGGGGGTCCAGGGCCTTCAGCCGCTCTGCCCCTCACCTCTGGAACTCCCTCCCACCACAAATCTGTCATATCGACTCTCTCTCTATTTTCAAATCTCATCTAGAAACATATCTTTTTAAACTGGCATATTCAGTCTGATCATTCTCCACCCGGTCTCATAACTCCTCTACATCCTGTACATTTGTGTTTTTAAGGTTAATTTTATCGATGTGTTGTTACTTTGTTGTTTTAGAGAGATTTGAAAGGCGCCTTTAAATAAAATGTATTGTTATTATTATCATTATTATTATTATCATGATGTTGCAGGTGAGAGGCTCAAATGTCTGCAACAAAATAGTTCTTGTTTCTATTTGAAGTCCAAATGGTATTATTCATCAGCAGATTTAAATGTACATTCATTGATGAATACCCTCTTGAGATGAATCATCTCGTTTTCAAGGGAAGTACAACCCACCAGGGCATTCATTCTGTATCGCTACTCCACCCACACAACGTAAACAGGTACGAGATTTCACATCACATATTAACTAATAACATTGTAAGTATTGACACTAATGATGGTAATTACAAAGATTACAGTACAATCAGAAGCCTCCTTATTAAGGGGGCAGGAAGACATTATTATTGGAAGCAGTGGAAGGGCGATTTAATTTTTTTTTTTTTAAAAGGTACGAAAAGAGTTAATTGTTCACAGGTTATCTGGCAAATGATTCCAGTCAGAAGGTGCTTGTTGTTATAATTCATAATAAAATCAGCAATCTGACTGTAGTTGGGTCTTTCAACTTCATTGCATGACTCAAGTAGCTAGTCCACGACCGACGTACAGAAAAAGAAGACGCAGTCAGAAGTCCTTCACTGATACTAAACTAAACTAAACTAAAGTGATCATTCCTGCAAGAGAAGTGTGTTGAAGACATCATATTGAACTGTTTCAGGACTTTGGAAGTTTTTCCACCTCTGCATACAGGCTCTCTGGCTGAGCGTTGTCTCTGGGCTGAGTGGGTGCTTCAGAGACGATGGGAGGCCCCAACAAGGAGTAGATGGTGGGTAGAGGACCAGCTGGGGCATCATTTGTTGGTCTCTGCTGCAGATGGAGGTCTGTATTCACAGCCTTTAACACACAACATAAGAATGGTTATTTTGCTATTTGATATGCGATTTTCAAATTGGGCTATTATAATGTATTAGCACTGAAATAAAAACAGCCATGAACTCCTTAACAGACATATAATCCTTCATATTAAGTGAGAAGATAAAAACTGTTGCTTCAGTCCAGACTTCTTGAAAAGCATGTTAGTACAATTTATCACAGAAAGCTACTGCTACATTATTTGTCCGATTTGTGACTGAGAAAACATCCCACAAAGACTCAGTTACAGTCAGGTCATTAAAGGGATACTTCACCCATTTGCATTAATCTTTGTATCATTAGAAACCTGGTAGTGTTTTTGAATGGCCGTGCATCCCGCCCTCATTTTCCCCTGAGATGGGAAATCTTTGTATTTCTGAGTCTGAAAAGAAGTTTCCAGTGACGCAAAATGACGATTTTTGTGTCACTGGAAGCTGCTAGCAGTGTGAAACTACAACGCTAGTTCCTCATATTTTCGACCACTGAAGGTACAGACCAATCACAGATCAGTGGGTGAGAACTCACTCCCAGAATCGAAACTTAACGTCCGCCATATTGCTTGGAAGCTATGCTAACAGGCTCTATGGAGAAAGCTGATAATGGCGAGAAAATACAAATATAGCGGCGAGACGGCTGCTGCAGACAGGCCGGTCTTGTGTTTTGGCTGCTGCGGCCGCCACTGGCCGCAGGGTCTACCGAGACATAATGCCTGCATGTCGGCGGCGGTGAGGACGAGGACCCCGGGCCAGCTCGAGCTGGGGTGGACTGGTAGTGTCGGTGCTCTCACTGTTTGTCTATGGACACAGACATAGAGTCTGTTTTCTGCCAGGAATTTCCAAGATCAATTCTGGAAGAAATCTCTGAATCAGTTGAGGAAATGGTCTTATGTGTTGAAGTAAATATGTCTGTAAATGTTTTTATTACTTTATTTCTACTGCTATACTGTATATTTTGGAGAAACTGTATCGATCGAATTTCCCTCTGGGATTAATGAATCATTTCTGATTCTGAACTAGAGGACCTTAGTGGGAGTGGCCTGTGGTGCTGTGCATTCTGGGATTTGGTGTCTTTCATCCACATGAGCCAAAAAGTCACTTTCTGCCTTTCTGCCAAGAAGGCACCAACTTCAAAATGTATTTCACATTTCTACAACATATATGACCCAATGTCAATACAGATTCATGTTTCAACGGGTGAAGTGTCCCTTTAAGTTCTGTGACTGAATTTGCTGGTTTGATGTCAATCAGAAAGCTATTCGGTTCAACCTGCAACACAGAACCACAACACCCCATAACTTCAAAGGTTTAATACATTTACAACTGTTGGGAAGAAGTCGTCATGGATCTAGAAATGAGCTATGGTTTTTTATATCAGTTCTCAATCATTAATTTGTTTAAGAATTTCTTCACTTCTGACTAATTTAGGAAATTGGTATTAAAAAATATTCCTCCTTACCTGAGGATCTTCATAGACTGTATTTTCCATGTTCTCTGCTTTATCTGCAGATCAGTCATAAAGAAACATGTTGAAACTACATTAACATTACTGGAGCTGATTCTGTTCTGGATTTATTTGGTGTGATTTTGAGAGTCACTTTTTCTACATTGAAAAATGTATTCTGTTAATTTATTAATAGTAATGAATGCAATCAAAATGCATAAACATTTTATAATGGGGCCTCAGTTTAATAGTTTGTAAATGATAAACAGTTTTGAATTGCCATCCTCAAATATTATAAATTCATGTGAATTTAAAAGTTCTTTACATATGATTTATTTTGTTAACATTGTAAATTGTTTATTTATTCTAACTCTAAGGTGTGGCTTCTAAGTGTAACTGCTGCGCTGTCTTCATCAGATCGCCCTGATAAGAGGATTCACTCATAAGGGACGTCTTTTGAATGATAATAAAAACATCAACACAGGGGAGAAGAATGTACTCATCTAAAGGGTCAATTCAGTTTGATGTAAACAATAAGGATTTTCTGATTTCATATTTAAATTCAGTTTAAATGCAAACTTAACTTACTTTGTTTTCTCCTTCGATGATGAATTCAAATTATAGCCAAAACAACACCAAGAGATAAGACGATGGCTACAACAATCGGTGTAACATTATTTTGGCTGCCTTTCGATGCTGTAAAGAAAAAAGAAAGCCAGATTAGAAATTCATACTTGGCTGAACTCTTGCAGCATACCTGAGAGTGAACTATAACCACTCAATCTCACAGACCTGATCTGTAGTAAAATATGAAGTTGGTCTAATCAACCCTGAATGGATGGTGCCCTAAAGTCACAATTTAAAACTACATGGAAGGATAGTCACCTCCTGGTTTTAAGGATCACCTTAGACATTTCTGACATTGTATTTTTTTAATAGATTGTTATCTCCTTTGGTGACCTGTTGTTACTGGCATGTAAATGTAACTCTTTACTTTGTCTTGACTTCTTTTAATAAGACTCTAAAGGCTGTGTGACTGAATTGACCATCAGGGATTAATAACACATCTGAATCTCATAAAATCAATTTCATTGTTTTTATCTTTTAAACCATTAATTCTAGCCCATTTATATGTCAAATAATCTCTGCTTAGTTTAATTTTTGTCTGAAAATTAAAACTATTTTGTCTCAAATAATATGGTTCAACTCCAATATATGAATTAGTCAGTTACCTATCTCCTGGGAGATGTTTGTTGAAAATGGCATTATCTTCATAAATTATATAATTCATTTAAATGGAAAAATCTATTCATGTAAAATGTATTGTGAATTATTTGGAATAATTTGAAATGAATACCATCAGTTAGTATTTGTAATTCCTTTGGCTTGGAGGAAAACAATTAAAAGTACTGAAAGAAGGATATTGGTCTGTAGACCTGTAAAAAATGTATTTGTGGCTTAAAGGGAAAAATTAGAAATAATTTGATGCATACATTTTTCTTGAAGGGAAAATGATTTACATTATATATCCAACAAATTTCAAACTTACTTTGAGGGGATATTTGATACCCCTTTGCCATGGAGACAGGCGAATACTTTAACTTCTAGATACTAAATCAAAATACTTTCAACTTAAAATTCTATACAACATCTTGCCTACAAGAAAAATGCTCTCAGAATGGAGTTTAGGATCCAAACTGTCGCTTCTGTAAATCTGAATCTGAAGACCTGCTGCATCTTTTTTGGTTTTGATCACATGTGGGGATTGTTTGTATGAGTGACACTGAAAAAATGTCGAGCTCTTTATTCAGTATCGCTAACAATGAGCCCTCAAACAATAATTATTTGTGAATTAAAAATTGGATGTTCAAGTATTTTAATAAAAGAGATTTATTTTTGAATTGAAAGGGAAAGAACGTTTGACGCTCCCTAATGTTCTCTCTTTTTTAACATTATTTTAGGTAAGAGGGCGTTATCACAGAGAGGGAACAATGAATGACACAAATGAGATGGATCGCACTAAGGCCATGTTTAGAAGAATGATGAACATGATGACTGGTTTTGTTTTGTTCGTGTGGTTTTTGTTAATGGTCTGTCATGTGTAAGTATAATGTTTTTGTATATTGTTTTAATGTTTTACATTAAAAATAAAGAATAGTTTTATTGTTTTTAAACCCAATTGATTGACAAGCTAGCACTGATTAGTCTTTAATCATGGCAATGTTTCTGCTGCAGTTATTTCATCAAAATGTATGAAAACATGATCTCCTACCAAAACAGCTGAAAAACAATGGAGAATATTTCTATCGTTGTTTCATCAAAAGAGAAATAAGTATCTGTATGTTTTTATTTAGGCTACAATCCACACTGTTCATTAGCATCAAATTGTAGTTATTAACTCTTACCGTCAGGCTTTTGACAAAACTCTTCAATCTTTTGGATGTCCCTTGTAGAGCTGACCTGGTTGCTATGGTTACAGATGACTGAACCGTTCTCCAGGTAGACGTCCAGAGAAGCACCAGGTGTGATGATCTCTGCTCGCTCTCCTCCCTCGTGAGAGCAGGTTTGGTTGTCACATGTGAACGTGCTGTTGATGAGAGAGTCCTCAGTGCTGCAGATCACTGTGACGTTAGTGGAGTCTGAGCTGCAGAGTTTCACTGTCAGCTTCACTCCAGACACTGGATCTGCAAGAAGCAAAGCAAGTGTGATGACTTTTTTTAAAACAGGGAACGACTCTGTATCAACATTTTCAAATTAAAGAAACGTACCCAGAACTGTGACGCTGTATTCAGCTACATCTGAGATATTATCAGCAGAAACACGTGCTCTGTAAACTCCACTGTCCCTCTTTTGTACGTTCTTTAACAGTAGAGAGTGATTTTGTGCAGACAATTCTGCTCTAGATTCATAACTTGAAAAAATGATTGGTTCAATACCATGAATTAGTTTCGCAACATTAGCACTGCCAACAGTCCATGTTAAATCATGTCCCGCGCCTTCAGAACAACAGGTTTCTTCACTTCCAGAAGTAAATCTGTTCCTGTCTGCACAAACACAGGAGTCACTGCAGAGAGAAGAGAAATAAAAATCATGTTTATGATTAAAAAAACACTTCACTGTTTACACTAATCAATATTTCCATGTTAACAATGTATCACTTGTGTAAGATTTAAAAGTGAAGTAAATTCATATATTTAAGTTAATCCATGTATTTAAGTTTAAGTTAAAAATAAGTTAACATTTATGCAGTGAACTATTTACATATTTGAGTTTACAAAGTTAATATTGATATACTTACATGTTTTAATGTTTGCAGTAGCACCTATAACTGTGACCAAATTATATTGAATCTACTTCTGTGTTTGTCATAATGTTTGCCTTGAGTTTAATCATCCTAACCTCTGATTGGCTAATGACGGGACATGTGATGAGTAACGAGGAAGTGTTGTGGTTGTTGTGTAGCAGAACAATGTGGATGACAGTAAAGTGCTGCTGAGAAAGTGATCCATCTCCATCCTTCTGTTTCTCTTAACTAGAGTGATCCATCCACCACGCATCGGACCCTCACGTTACACGGTATACTTATATACTTAAAGTTCTTGACAAACACACCGAAAATGATCACCTGACTGAAGGTTAAAAACACAAACCTAAAACAGGAATGATATAATTTAATATATTTTTTTAATCCTGAAGGGTAAATTCTGGTTTAAACTCTCTTTATTGAGAGAAATCCTACTACTCACACGCAAAGGCCAGATATAAAAACATGCACAAACGGGAGCTATGAACAAAAGAGATGTCAGAGTGGGACTGATACACAGGGAGCACGTCATAGCTCTTCGGGTTCAGTGCCTTACTTAAGAACAATTTGGCCGTACTCAGAAAGTGACCTGGAACGTCTCCAACAAACAGACAAACTCCCGTACAACCTAGGTCTCTACAGACTGAGCTACTACTGCTGCCCCATTCATGATTCATGATTTGGATTTATACTGTAAATAGGTTGCTGCTTATAATTATTAATAGCTACATGCTACAGTAATATAATAGAGTTGATTTCATTGTGTAAAAAATGTTTCTGCTCATGTTGTAAGATATTCTTAAAAATCGGTGAGTTTTTTGATTAAACATTTTTCTCAACATATCTGGGTAAATGTAACTGATGTAGAAACAGAAATGAAGATTGTCACTTTCTTTATTTATAGGGCTCACAACAAACAGGACAACTAGAAGTGCAGCTATCGGGTGCACTGCACAATCCCACTCAGGAAAACCACATTTAGTCAGGGTGTCTTTTCCTTCAGAGCATCACATCAGTTGTTTTAATACCACAATATTTAGTTCAGATTTCAACACCATACTCCCCGTCAGCCTCCATTCCAAGCTGGTTGACATACTTCAGGGCTAAACACCTCCATGTGTGCTTGGATCCTGGACTTCCTGTCAAACAGATCCCAGGTGGTCAGAGTGGGCAGACACACCTCCAGCCCCTGCACCCTCAACACTGGAGCACCACAAGGCTGTGTCTTAAGCCCCCTAGTCTTCACCCTATACACACACAACTGTGTGGCCACGAGAAGCTCCGACATCATTGTGAAATTTGCAGATGACACGGCGGTGGTTGGCCACATCAGCACCAGCATCAACATTCACACTCTTCACCATTGCACACTTTACAAACTGACACTCCTTCAAGAAATCTCTAAAAACTCACCTCTTCAACATCGCCTACAACCACTAACAATAACTAAGAACTCTCATCCTCCTTCTTTTACAGTATTTCTTAGTTGTATTGTTTTTCTTCTGTTTTTGTTGTTGACCTTGTTAAGCATCTTTGAGTATTTAGAAAAGTGCTATATAAGTCTCATTTATTATTATTATTATAACTTAACACTTTAATACCCAAATGGTATTGTCTATATCTGTATTTTTCTGATCTAATGAGTGTATGTGAATGGGTTATATTTATTTCTATGATGCCAAAGAACATCTGGGAAAAAGACTGCAGATGAAAATTAGCCTTTCAGCTAACTCTGGTACATTTACATCAGTCTGAATGTTGATTCATGTACACTGTCCCTCTTCACATGAAGAGACAAATAAAAACTTGAGCACAGCAGCAACACATTGTAACAGCGTTTGATCTCCCCAGCCTGAGAACGAGGACAGAGGGAACAGGCCAAAAGAAGTGAACGAGGAAGTCAAAAAGAAACTGTGAAAAAGCTTGATGTGAGTTTCCTGCTGTTGTTGCACATGTATGCTTGCTCGTTTTCACACACACACACACACACACACACACACACACACACACACACACACACACACACACACACACACACAGGCTAAGTGACACAATTTCAAGTTCTCTTTTGTCCTCAAGCTTCTTCTTTTTTTACACCTTAAAACTTAATTATTTTCAGTAACTGTAAACTGCAGTTCACAAATACAATAGTTTTTTATATTTCTCACTCAGAAATATAAATTCCCATAGCGGGGAACTCCATGACAGTAAGAAAGTCATTTCAAAGGAGTGGAGGATGGACCATTAGATTAACACCTAAAGCCTCGGCTTTGTCAAACCGTTTGGGCGGTTTGCAATGTGAAGATGGAGGACGCATGCAAAAAAAGAGAAGGTAATAATATGAAAATGACCTCGATGGTTTCTGTACCCTGACCCTCAGCTATAACACACTTAGTCACTTTTTATACTTTCCATTTCAAGTTTTATGTATCAGGATAAAAGAACAGTTTATCTTCACTATAACTACTATACAGCTACTCAAACTGTAGAAACACTAATGGAAGTCTTAACATCTCCAGTTCACTCAGTGATCACAAACTCTAAAGTCTTTCACTTTGATTATTTACATTCAATCCACTGACCAGCCGCTGACAATAACAATCATTATGTCTCAGTTTAAAGTATGAAGGCCTTGTATAAACTCTCAGTGTTGCATTAATGAAAAAACAGATTACATTGTTAGATCTAACTATCATTAAAGCCGTGCAGAAGTACAGATATTTACAAAAGACACTTCAACAACAGGAAACATACAAAAAATAAAGTTCTTACCTTGTGTAGCACATAAATGCAGCAGAGAAAAAGAGAAGAGAAGTACGAGGGGCCCCATTCTAAGAAATGAGCGACAAGCGGAAGTGATCTC